ACGTGACTTTTTAATTGTTAGCACTGCCAGAAGAAAGAGCGAGAGCGATCAGCTGCCGCACAAGCACTTACGATTTCACTGTTCTCGCCTCGTCTGAGGAGAGCTCAAACAACAGACGGACGGATGGCTGCCTACTGCGGGAACGACACAGTAAACCTCAGTGTCTATGAGTTACGCGAGGAACAGTTGGAAGTGTTGAAGGAGATCACGGCTGTGATCACTGGTCTCGGACTGTTCACCATCGTCACAAGCAGCGTCGCCGTGTTGGTGATCGTAAAGTCACCGGAACTGCACACGCAAAGCTTTTTCCTGATCGGTTTCTGTTCGATGAACGATTTTGTATCCGGACTGGCCTACTTCACGTTCGGCCTGCACCGTCTTCTTCAGCCGTACGAGGTGGAGGGCCTGCTTCAGTCTCAATGCTGCCGGCGAGCGTCAGTCATGTTTTACAGTCAAACGTTTACCGTATTCCTGGCGATCTTGCTGGCAGTCGACCGGGCGGTGGCCATTTTCCGACCCGTCTTCTATCGGTCGGTGAGATTCTCCAAATTTTACTTGCCAATGGTCATCGTCTTCTGGCTGGTGTCCGTCATCGAGACGGTTCTGATGATCATCGTCAGCCTGAATGATAATCGTCTGGTGAAGTTCTGCGAAAGCAACGAGTGTTGGGGCAGCACCACCGCCGTGTTCGTGTATCAGGGGACAACCGTCTTCCTGGTGGTCATCGTCGTGCTGTTCAGTATCGCGATCATCGGCCTGACACACGCTCGTAACGCTGTATTCAGAGAGTCTCATCATCTGCCTCAACGGGCGAAACGAGTCAAGATGCATTTAACTGTCATAAGGACCGAGGCAGTCATCCTTATCATTATTACCCTTTCTCAGATATGCGGAAGAGTGTGTGTGTTGGTCGCATACAGCGTCTCTGACCGCTTTCTTAAAACCATTTTCATCAGCGCGTTCCGCATACTCATCGCGACAACAGCAGCATCGAACTTTTTCACCTACGTCGTCAGATCTTCAAAATTTAGGGCTTCGTTTTGGAAAATGTTGCTGCGTCGAAACGCTACGAACAATCAGTGTTGCTAAGGATAAGATCCACTGTGTTTGCGTCGGTTTACTACAGAAGAAAAGCAATGACAAATTTCTGGTCTGAATCACGAAACAGCACGTTGTTGTTATTAGTGTTATGTCATTCTCATGAAGGTATAACAGTTTAATGAGCAAACTACCTCAGTCATATGACGTCATAATGTACGAAATGGTGCTTGAACGGGAGGGCGAGAGCACTACGAAGTCAGGCGGCGCTTCTACCATTTACGACGCAGATTAAACGATTTTTTCAAAATGAACCTTGAACATTCAGTTTTACAGCGACTGACTTGGTTCCGCCATTAAACATTAAAAACCTGAATGAACAGGTCAAAAAGGAAAGAAAAATACAATATTTTCAGATGCAAAATGCCTTCATTCCATCGTCGTCACAACCCGATGTATTTTTTCAAGCTCGTTTCATTCATCTACCCATTCATCTATCTAACAATTAACTTGTTCAGTTATTTATTAATTAATTCTGGTACCCGCAATTCATTTGAAGTCACGACAGCAGTGCTGCATGAGATTTTTCTTATGGTTCTGTCTTCCTATAAGCCAGTAAACTCCCTGGATCAGATTCTAAGGCGTGACTATGACAAGTTTTTAATGTGATGGAGTCATCCGGTTTATTTCGTCTAATCTTTCACGTGGTTTCCATGCCGTCTTGAGTCCGCCTTGTGAATTCTCTGGCAAAGGAGGTATCCCAGACCGTCATGCGTCTAAACTTGTCCATCTTCGCATCACAGACCGTTGAATGTATGCAAATCTTTTCGCATCAGTAAGGATAACCTTTACTGAACCTCAGCTGCTCTGGCAAGTAATACGGCGGACAGCATGAAATTTTGATGAAATACACGAAACCTCTAGCAATTCCGCTTCTTAAACGCAGTAGCTCTCTGATAAATAGAACATGGCACCATCTCGCCAGAGTCACGCAGGAAAACCGTTCGGCTTCAAATGCTTTTCGAGGAAGAAGACGACTGAGCGGCGTAGAGCAGCAGCGTTGTCCATGACGCATGAGGGTTAAACGGCAGACCACGTAAGGAATGACTTCTTATCCGAGTACAGGCGGTCTTAGTAAATGTAGCGATCAAGATATGGATATTGGCTCTAGCAGACAAAATGGTTGAGTATAACGCAGTGATTCGAGATAAAAGGAGCTTCTCCTGCGGGAGCTGAAACACGGAAGACGTCGAGGACAGAAGGCCAGCATGTATGATGAATGGAAAAAAAATACAGAGACAGATTTGCTTTTGGAGAGTAATAATTCTTTCTTGGACGCAGTAACTGGCGCCTTGCAGCAAAAATGCTGAAAACCGGTAAATATTGAGGAGATTAGAAACCAAAAACGTTTCTTCAAATAATTCAAGACGACCATCTCAAAAACTTCATGTATAACATGAATCATGTATCGCATCAGATAATAACTGCCATAATCAGGGATACTACTAGGTAGACCATCACAAGATCAGCAACCACGCAAACTTCAATTTCACTAAACTATTATTATGCAAACTTAGCATAAAGAAAGCATCCGGGAACGTATTTTCCCCCACAGATTTTAAACTATCATTAACTTCCAAGAGGAAATAACGCGACTATAAGCCAGCATGAAACGCAGCAACAATCGATAAGCTCTTCATCTTCAATTTCCATGGCTGCTTCTCCTTTCGGATCAAGGAGCCAGACACGTCAGACACTGCTTCCAACATTCCCCATCCTGTGTCAGAGTCTCAGCTTCGGCAAAAGATAACTGGACTCTGGAAGTCTGGAACAGTCTCCTACCATGTATTTGCCCCAGGTTAATTTTGGCCGTCCTTTATGCCTTGTGCAGGTCGATTCGACAAGAAACATTTCCATTGCCTTCCTTTCTAGAGGCATTTAAAACAGGCGCAAAACCATCCAGTTGTGATGGCTTCTCAACCTGGAGAAACAGACGCTGTACAACAAAGCTCTCTCGAATGTCAGTATTCCGGGTCATGTTGAGACGCGAAAGACCAGCGACTCGTCTAAGAGAGGACACTTTAGCAGCTGGTACCCGTGTTCGAAGTTTTTCAGTGATGGTCCACGATTCATGACCGTAGG